AAATAAAATCAAAATTTACAACAATTAATTTACATGAATGAATAAAATATGTAAACTATAATCAATTAAGAAAATAGAAACAGTGGATTAGATGGCTAAGCTAAGGGCTAGAAGAAAGGGCGCAAATATTTTAACACGCCATATATCTTTATTATTAAAATTTTAGTTTATATACAAAGACAATATAAACTGAAATTTAAATTATATGTAGCAACGTATCCTAGGATTTTATGATTCATTCTTGTGCACCCTTCTATTGTTACGTGAATATTTTATCACATTTCCCGCGGCAAATTTATTATTTATTGTTTTCCGCATTTCGTATGAGTTCAATGAATCCGAACCTTTTTCATTAATAGTTTTTCTCACGTCTAGAGTGTCTCCTAATTGAGTTAAAGCTTTTATGTCATTTGGGATGGAGTAAGAGAAGAGTCTTTTGGAGATATAAATTTTTGTCTCCCATACCGTAGTATTGATAAATTCAATTCCGAACCAATTATGAAATTTTCGAAAACAGAATCTACTAAATTGTAATAATGATATTGGTTTTCTTTCGCTGCTTCAGGACCATTCATAGCCCTGGAGCCAGGGCCCAAAAATCGACCTGATCGCAGGCGAAGGTTTGATTGTAAATTATGAAAGTGTATGTTATTCTGAGTAAAAAAAACCTTGTCTACCGTTCCGAAGCCGCTGCTTTCAAAAATAGCGGATGATTTAAAGAATATTAGGCCAATAATTTGAGGATTGAAACGGGAAATCCATTGCGAAAAATGTGAGAAAAATTTCTATTTTTTTAACTTGTATATATGGGTTTAGACATGTAAAAAACAAAATTGCTAACGCAGGCCACCAAGGGTAAACTTTTTACAGCCAAAAAAGTCAGATTTTTTCGATATTTTTTGGGTTTTTCATCTATAACTCCTAAACAATGCATCAAAGCGAAAAATGTGTTCTTTAATAAATTAAAGAACGTTAAATTTTGCGTCAAACGAGTACATATACTTTAAAATTTGGTTTCACGGTAAGGTATAAAACCACGGTCAACCAACTCTGAGTTTTACCAAGTTTGCCAAAAACTGGAACAAATTACTATAATTGCCCTGTAACTTCGAAATGAGTCTCCTAAGAGGAAAAACTCATAGAATCAAAGTTGTAGAGCATCAAATTTCGCGTATTTTTCGCAATGGATTTCCCGTTTCGATTCTCAAATTATTGGCCTAATATTCTTTAAATCAGCCGCCATTTTTGAAAGCAGCGGCTCCGGAACGGCTGACAAGGTTTTTTTTACTAAGAATAACATACACTTTCGTAATTTACTATCAAACCTTCGCCTGCGATCAGGTCGATTTTTGGGCCCTGGCTCCAGGGCTATCAGAATTATTACCCGATTCCCGATGAATACCGAAAGTAGCCGAGTATTGACAACCATGTTAACATGATACAGTTTGGGATGCAATTTTTAGGTCATCATTAACTGATAGGATATATGTGTCATCGTCATATGTGCTGATGACAGTGTTAGGATGGGTTGGTATGTCAGCTGTATAAACTGTTTAAATGATAGGACCTAGGAAGCTACCTTGAGGAACACCAGCGGTCTGGGAAAAGAGGGATGAATAAGCTTTATTGTGATTCACTTTAAAGTATCTATCAGTTAGGTAGCGACGAATAATGAGGAATTATGTAGGATGTAGGGATTTACGGAGTTTGTAAAGCAGTCTCGGGTGCCAGACTCCATCAAAAACCTGTTCTACATCGAGAAAGATTATCGTGCAGTACATTCCGCGCTCCAATGCAGAAGAGAAAACATCCACAACACGGTGGCTTTGCTGGATATTGGAATGGGATCAGCGGAATCTACCCTGGTGATCTGTGTGATTACAATCTAGGATGGGTTAAAGTCGTTTTAGGGTGAGTTTTTATAGGGTTTTACCCATGATAGGTAAAAGGGAGATAGGACGGTAAGAGGATGGGTATTCTGGTGGATTTTTGGATTATCATTTTGATAATAGATAGTTTCCAAGAGACAGGAAAATATGTGGGTCGGAGTACAGCATTGTATATATAAATATGAAATAGAATAGCTTTCTGAGGAAGTAGTTTTAGGATCTGGGATGTAATTAGGTCGCGTCCAGGAGCTTTGCGGGAGGGTAACCTGTGAATGATATTGGATTTTTCTGAAGGATGAAAGGCTTTAGGTTATTTGGGTTAAGAATGTCGGTATGTGGATTAAATATTTTGAAGAGGTGATAAGCAAATAAATGGGATTTTTCTTCGTCGGATTTAGACCAGGTTTGGGATTTGGTAAGAAGTGGATGATTGCATTCTTTAAATTTCAGGAGCCTTTTAGTGGTTGTCCATAGTGATTTGTCGGTAGGTGAATGTTTTTCAGTAAAATTTAATAAATTTCGAATTTTGTATTTTTTAATTTCTAATTTTAGTTTATTATTCAGTTGGATGTAATGAGTTTTATCTGTTGCCACAATTATTAAGATTGTATCATGAAAATTGCCCATAATCTGAGAATCACCCTAATATGCAATTAAGATCGAATTTAAATTTTCTTCCTCACTGATACACGAAAAAAAACGCGTATAATAAAATACATAGTTAAAATAAGCCTATTAAAATTAAGATGAAATTTCTCTCCACATGATAGATATGGAGAAATGCAAAAAGGAGGTAATATGTATAAAAATAAAATATGTATAGAAAAAATATTCATAAGAAAATAGATGGAAAATTTTAATCGTTGTGAAAATTCATAGTCATTGTTACTCGAAATGAATAACCTGATTACCAAGTGGGAGATGGTGATTATCAGAAAGGAATCCTACAAATGGTTTTATTTTAACATTTTAACCGTTATTAACGACTATTATAATTCAGTCAAAACTTCCCTCTTAAAATATACAACCAAAAGTTGGGGCTCGGTAGGCTGCGTCTTATTTCGGACACTCTAGGAAATTTGAGAGTACCATGCTAAGGGTATCTCTTGAAACCGGCCGCCTAAGAGATTCCTCAGTTCAATTGATTCGAAAACTTTATTCATTTAACTGAGAAATATATTATTAAAACTTCTAAATAACTTTTTATCTAGTTTTCTTTGGGGTTTAAACTTCATTGAACAACTCCTTAAGTTACAATCACGGTAAGCTGACCCGATTTTAACATTACTTTTGGCAGGACACCAATGACTGGGGGAAGGGATTGTTACAATAATTATTTTTACATATTGATACTCTGGTGCAAATGCTAATCAGGTTAGATGTATTAAGTTGATATAAGGTAGAGAATTTAGAAAATAGAGAATGTACTATTAAGAGCGGGTAATTTGATGGTGTATTTAACGTCTAATTATAACACAGTTTTTAAGACGAATGCTTTGTGCCATCAGTTTGTAAGCAATGAAGAAGATTTTTTTGAAAATGCTATAAAATTTATTGAAGGTGACAAAATTTCGGTTATCGAAGTAGCAAGTGAAGTTGCTGATGCCCAAGATTTGAACTTTTCCTTTTCAATATATTTTTTTAATAACGATACCTAATTAAAATTAATTGCCATTAATTCCAAGCAATGGTGATCGAATTCTAACAACTGATCAACAATACGAACTTTGCTAAGCAGTTCTTGATAATCTGTTCTTAACAATTATTCGTTATTATTAAAGTTAAACATTATAAAATCAACAAAAATAATATGAAACCATATCCTTGGGAAATAGCTACATGGCCACCGAAAACCGTATATTCTCTTCCCGTTCTCCTGCCGTTTCCTAGGTTGTGCATTCTTCCCGAAAATCGGCACTTTTTCGAAACGGTCGTGGGACAAATTGTTAAAAATCGGGACTGTCCCACTATAAGCGTGATGATTAACGACGTTTGGTCACCTTAATCTACGACCATCAATATCTACAACAAAATTTTAAATTATAAATTATAATAGAGTAAAAACTTTGATTGATATCATCCCTCACAATAAAACTGATCTCTGGATTTTTATAATCCATGAATATTTTATTTTTTGAGGTTATTTCTAGTTTTCGATAGTTACAACTAAATAGTTGTTATCTTTGAACGTAATATTAACTGATAACCCCCTATAAATTACTAAGTAACAAGTATATCATATTACATCGGGCTATAATAACAGTAAATAAGGAAAGTATCATTATTTCCTTGTAACTTATTAATAGTAAACGTGTTACAAAACTCACATCAACAGGTGCCGAGAATTAGAGCTTTAATTAAATTCAAACATGTCTTTATCAAATTTGCTAAAATAACATATGTAATATATATTCTCTTCATAATCTGTACATACATAGTAAGTTATACTTGAAACTATGTGCATACTCATCGCTCTAAGAACGTATTAAATTGTTTTTTCCTTATTAATATATTAATTAATTTATTTTGTCCATTAAGATGCAAACAATTTTTTTAATGTTCTTTAGCCAAAAAAAGTTTATTCAACCAAACCTCATTGGGACTGCAAAAAGTAGAGAAAATATTGATGTATTTTTTTTCCAATTTTTCCTCAATAACGGAACTCTTATTCTTTTTTTAAATATTATTTATTATAACAGTATATACTTTTTGATTATTATTCATATGCTATTTTGGTTCTGTTTATTTATTTATTTTTTTGTACATATAGTGTGAATATGATTCTACCTCACTATAAATAATGTCCAAGCGACAGAATGTTGTAATACTCAATAAATAAATAGTTTAAAAATAATATTACAGCAGTCACAATTATTATATCTAGTTCTGCCATAAATACTGTTACAAAAGTTGACTTTATATCCTTGGGTATTATTTAGGTAATCCTTACCTCTATCAGGTTATTTTTTTTACATGTCAGGATAATAATCCCAATTAGTTTTTAGTTTTCTTTCGCTTAGTTAACATGGAGTGGGGTGATAACAAATCGTGTCTCGGGAAATGGGAATCTCTGTCAAATCAATGTGTTGCATAATAAAAAGTGACGTTAGGATGGGTGCATTTCGAAGAATGACACCAATGGTCTTCATCAAAAGATTTTGTTTAGCGGTGAGAAAGTCTTTACAATTGAAGAAAAATTCAATCGCGAAAATGATCGTGTGTAAGCATACAGCTCTAAAGAAGCTCAGGAAGTCATTGGAAGAGCGGAAAGAGGTCATCACCCTTCCTCAGTGAGTGATGGTTTGGTGGGGAGTTTTCTTTGATGGCACCACAAAGCTCCATATTTGTGAAAACGAAGTTAAAATAGCCGCTAAAAACTATCAGGATGATATTTTGGAACCTGTTGTCAATCCTCTAAATGATATTCTGTTTGCTGGAAGTCGTTGGATTTCCAGCAGGATTCCGCTCCAGCTCACAAGACTCAACACAGCAGTGGCTGCAAAAGAACATTTCATAGTTCATCTCTGCCTCGGATTGGCCCTTAGGAAGCCCTGATCTCAACCCACTAGATTATCGATTTTGGTTCGAACTATATAGGATGGCATATCATAGAGGACACCGTAACTTGGAAAGCCTCAAACAATCTCTGGTCCGAGCTGTTAAGTGCTACATGCTGCTGTTGATGACTGGCCACGGAGATGAAAAGGGAACATTTTGAGTAATTTATTTTTTGTTTTACTCTCTATAGATATACATTTTATTTTCTAATAATGTTTTTGAAAAAAATATTTTTTCTGTTGAAATGTATATATATTTCCTTGTAACAATATTTATGACAGGACTAGGTGTTATTTAACCATTACAAAGCTAAATGTATTACTTATCGAATTGCTTTCATTTTTCCGGATTCATCACATATATCATAATTTATGTAAAAATACGAAGTATAATATATAATGGAACAGAAACAAATATTGTTCGTTAAAATTGGCTATGTTAATAATAAGCATATAATTCATCTCAATTAAAAATAGTAATACTACCAATTAATATACATTTTAAATTTTGGACTACCACAAAACTCCCTGCTATGAATATATAATGGGTTAATTGAGCGATTAACATTGACTGTTAAATATTTCTAGAATTATTGGAATTCAGAACCGTACCTCTAAAGAAGTACTGAATCGTCCAAGGTTAGGTGCATAAATGAATTGAAAGAGGCAAATGTTTTAATAGCTCGAGAGAGTCCTTGATCCCATTTTATGTTATGCTTAAAGGATAATGAACTGAAATGGGTACCGTTTGTCGCATGTTTTATTTAACAGGTTCTGAAAAGGTAATCACTCTTAAAATCAACGTAATACTCCTTATTTGTATAATGAACTTATTCTTCCATAGCAGTCTATATGGTCGATTTTAGTGGAAACCGAATGGGTATTTACGAGTTATTAGTACCTAATTAAATAGACTAAGTTCGCTGATCTCCAGATTGGAAACGCCCAAATTCGCACCTGTCAACTTCATGCTGACAATAAGCAAATGTGCTGAGAATACAAGAAATAATGACATGTCAGGCATGGGGATTTTAAATTATTAGACTAATAATGGTACCATAACATATGGTATCATTTCAAACTAATTAATAATTGAAATACTTTATCTTTAATACAATTTATTTTCTGTATTTTGAGCTTAAGTTTTTTCAGAACACTCAAGAGGTCTCACCGAATAATTTGAGCCATCAAACATGAAAATTTATCCTGGCGTTTCCTCGTAAAAACGTTACTAAGCTTTTAACGGAAAACCCAAATACATAACCTTCGTGTCACTTCGTTTCGTCGCGTAAAAATGCATAAATGCCGTATTACCATCAGAAATTCAAGTTTTATAAATATATATACATATACATTTATTAAACTTGATAAAACTCTAGATAAGAGTATATTAATATATGAATAAGATATGTGTGAAGGTATTTTTTACGGGTATACCGACCTTTGGCCGCGTGATGTGGCTTTACAGAAATGGCTTGCAGGAGTGCAGATAACCTAGAGTGGATCACCTAACCTCATGTTGCTACGGACCATAGCATCATAGAGTAGCGGCAGGCCAACCATATCTGATCCCTTTGGGGCCAGTCTAGTAGTGCCCTTCGTCGGCGGTTCACACGGGTTCAAGGACAAATCGGCCTTGATCCATGGATTATGGCTGCTCAGAATAAGCAGTCGAACAAGATGCGTGTTACATCCAGCATTCTGTCGGGCCTCACGGCTTTCCGCAGTAGACGATCATCCGACTCGAGCGGTCATCCATCCAAGTACTTGTCATGCTCGACGTTGTTAAATCTATTGCAAGCTCTTTAGCCCGTTCGAACATCCGGCTCTATCAATATTTATAATGAAATGTTGCGAAATCTCATCAGATCGATTAATATTTAATATCGATTATTTTGAAAAAGCCATCAGAAATGGTTGATGAGATTTGCCGCCAGATGAGTTGTCAGCGTGCTTTCAGAGCGAGCGAGGCTTCCTCGCTTCCTCAGTATGATCTAGGACGGCTTACTGATTACATTGAAGGCACTGATATCTAGTTCGCGACAGGATACACGGAAGATATCTACACCATGAATCCACCTTCGTGGTAATTATGTATATATACAACATTTATTCATATGATGTTTATTATAATTATATTATAAGCATTAGTATAATATTAATAATTAATACATTTCATTTATGCGTGGATTGTTAATCTTTTGTAATTATATAAACATATTTTATTTCTATAATTATTCTTTTAATACTACTATGCAAAACTTATTCTTGTGTAAATTGTTTATTTTCATAAGATATATTTTTTTTTTATTGATACTTTATTTCTGTGCTGAGTTTGGTCTCAATTATCTTAATCAAAATTGGTAAACATTTAAATTATAAACATATAATTTTAAAATATTTTTTATTTTATATAAAGACATTTAAAAATGCATTTTATAGTCTAACGACGGTGTCCGTTAACGGCTAAATTCATTAATGAACCCTACTTCTTAAATTGTTCAAGCAAGGTGTCACGTTGAAATTTTTTCCAGTCTGCCAAACATAGGCTGCTGCTTTTCAGTTTGCTGCATACAACATCTTTTTAGATTCTGTCTACCCGATTCTCGGTCTCGCACGTCAACTCTTACTACTATTTAGGCATTGATTATTGTGTAGAATTTCTGATGGATAGCTTGTTCCGTCCATCTTAACTTCCTTGCATTCATATCATAAGATATTGATTGATAAGTTACTTTATCGATAGATAAAGATAATTTCTTCTTTATCGGTCTCTCTCTTTCATGTTTTAGTACGGTGATCCCAAATGGTAGCTTCGGTTATCATTACCCTTAATTTGAGATTTTCAATTCGTAATTTCAGTACCTTTGAAAGAAGAAAGTTCTGTTAGTGCTTGTTATACGCCACTAGCGGATTCAGGATTTAATTTTGGGGAGGGGTTTCAATCCGAAAGATTTTATTTTCATATATATAACGATAATTAATTTGAAAAAAAGAAAGAAAGAAATTAACTACCTATATGAAATGGCGTTTAAGTGATTCTTGAAGTCCTATTAATTGTAATTACACGAACAATAATACTTTAAAAGATAGTTTTTAATATTTTTTTTTCTATAAAAACATGTTTATATTTTACCGTTTTTTTTTTTTTTTTTTATGGGAGGGGAAGAGGAGTAGCTTCAGCCTGAAAGTCCTCTCCCCGTAGATCCGCTTGTGTTGTACGCTGATGGTTGGTCATTTATTCAGGTTATTGTGGAGTAGGTTCAGATTATATACAAATTAGGTATTTCAATTCTTCGACTCTCGGGAAATGTTCTTCTTTTGTTGGGGTAGGTTTGTCGGCTTAATGTCCTCTTGTTTGTTCCCAAGGACAGCTATATCAGCTTCATACCCTAGGATTTTATGGTAAATTTCGACGTGCTCCGCTCCATGCTCATGGGATGTATTTATAGTCTTTGCAATGGTTAAGTTAAGAATCATTGGCTTGACTACTGCAAACCATTTCCAACTTTGAAAGATTTAGAAACTTGTTTTATAAGAACTGAACATTTAAAGTCGTTTATTCACGCATTCCTCAAACTCATTAATTTTCAAGGGATTTCCAGCTGAGTCATGATCCTCCAAAGAGAGTTTCGGTCCATTACTAACCGGACAGGGTACTACAAAACAGTCTTGCTCCTCTATCCCTTTTTCTAAATATATTTTCTATGGAACGGCCTCAAATATTTTAATATGTAATTGTTTTTTTTTAGGAAAAGAAAAATTTATCTACATGTTTTACCTTAAGAGATTTTTCAGAGAGTTGGAAGTTTATTAAGTTTAAGTTTAATTACAAATGCGCTTCATTTTCACCTTTCTTGTGAACGATTTAAAAAAATTGACTTTATTGTTATATAAGTCAATCAACAAACTCAAGAAAATTTGGTTTGTCCGCTATATTTTAACGCTAATGTGTGACAGAGCAAGGAACTCAATAATTTATAAATTATAAGATGTGGGGGAGAGGGTGCATAGACTACACAAAACACCCATAATCGTATCTTAGAACGTATATAAGAAGCAACACTACCTCTCGCCGATGACCTTCGATTCTAAAGAAGAATTACTAGTAATAATTAATGGCGTAAATAATTTCAATGCAACCGAAGCGACACATTGGGTACAATAGCTGAGGGGCGCTATGGCCTTGCTTTTCAACCCCCCTCCTCCCCCAAAAAAATCCCCTTTTAAAAATTAAGGAAGAAAAATTGTCAGAATATGCAGTCAATAATCCTATCAATACATCAAGGAACATGATTATTGACTGCATATTCTCAATATTTTTCATCTTTACAATTTCAACAGTGAATTATGTATCCATCTCTAAATCTCTTAAAAAGTTTTAACTTATTTGTTGTAAGCATAATTATGCCATGATTGGCACGTTTAAGTACTCAGTATAAAATTTCTACTTTTTCTGGAAGGAGCACACATGAAATCCACTTGCATTGGGCCGCAGTTCTTATTTGCGCCATTGGTAATAAGTGTGCTCTACCTCTTGCATGCTGCGATGAAAGTATCTCGTTTTTATCTCCTTTCTTATCTGAACGAGCTGGAATAGAGCAAATTAGTCAGAAATTATTTATTGATGGCGATAAGATAATGAATTAAAGAGAGAGTTGTGATAACTTCCTAAATAATCTGCGACAGAGTCATGTTCCTGATAAAATGATTATCAACTAACAGTGACTCTTACAGTTTCCAATAAAATTTGATTGTTTAGTATTGCATAAATGTTATCTTGAAGAATAGCCAGTCGTATTGATAGAACATACTATATTAAATTTTCTGTGGTCATGTTTTTGTTATTTTTACTTTCGCTTACCTATATATATAATATATAGTAAAGGAAAGTATTGCGATCCTGAAAATTTTCCAATCTGGATTTTCAACGTAAATACATATTTTGAGGTCTGCTGAGTCCAAATAACAAAGTCCCTCGAAATGGTATGTGTGTGT